TCGTGTTGCTTTATGTTGATGACATGCTTGTTGTTGGTCATAATACTTGCAGGATTCAAAAGTTGAAGCAAGAGTTGAGTAAGTCTTTTGCTATGAAAGACTTAGGACCAGCAAGGCAGATTCTTGGCATGCAGATTGTCCGTGATAGAAAGGCCAAGAAATTGGTATTATCACAAGAGAAGTACATTCAGAAAGTACTTCGCAGATTCAGCATGGACAAAGCTAAGGTTGTCAGTACACCTTTAGCTATGCACTTCAAATTGAGCACGAAACAGTGTCCTTTTAGCGATGATGAGAAGGAAGATATGAAGAAAGTTCCTTATGCTTCAGCTGTTGGTAGTTTGATGTATGCGATGGTTTGTACAAGACCGGATATTGCTCACGCTGTTGGAGTTGTTAGCCGTTTTCATTCTAATCCGAGAAGAGAACATTGGAATGCTGTGAAGTGGGTTATGAGATATCTGTGTGGCACTTCTAGTCTGAGTTTGTGTTTTGGTACAGGGAAGCCTATTCTTTGTGGTTATACTGATTCAGACATGGCTGGTGATGTTGATACTCGCAAGTCTACTTCAGGGTACTTGGTTACTTTTGCATGGGGAGCTGTGTCTTGGCAATCTAGGTTGCAAAAATGTGTTGATCTATCTACTACAGAAGCTGAGCTTATTGTTGTCGTTGAAGCTTGTAAAGAATTGCTTTGGATGAAGAGATTCTTGGGGGAACTTGGTTGTGCTCAAGAGAGGTATGTACTTTATTGTGACAGTCAAAGTGCTATACATCTTGGCAAAAATTCTACGTTCCATGGTCGGTCTAAACACATTGATGTGAGATACCATTGGATTCGAGATGTGTTGGATTCTAAGTTGCTTGAGCTTGAAAAGATTCATACAAAATACAATGGTTCCGATATGATGACTAAAGCTTTGCCAAGAGGGAAGATTGAAGATTGTTGCATGGTCGCCGGGATGTCGGTCTCTTCCACATAGTCGTGAGGGGGAGAATTGTTGGGTTATGGGCCTTTTTCCCTTCCTATGTGGATAAATAAAAGCCCAATTTGGACCAACCCATTTTTGCCCATAAACCCATTATTATGAGGCAAATATAAGCCTATTTAGGTCTTATTTTCATATACACAGAGAGTTTTTTCAGCAGCCAAAAAGAGAGAAAAAGAGCAGTTTTTCGCAGTCAAAATTCAGCCCTAACAGCCAACTTCAAATTGCGATTCCCGCTTCGTTTCTTGTCCGATTGAGCTGATTTTTGGACAGCATATTATCTTCATCTCAATCTTTGATTAAGAACTGACAAAGTTGGATTTGTTGGTCTGCAACTTCAGTTTTGCTGTCGTGAACAGTAGCTGCGAAATTGGTGATTTTGCTCCTTTAATTCTCTAGATTTGGTGCAATCTTATTTTGTTGTTGCTCGTTGTTTGGCACTTGTTTTGTGGCCAATTTTGGAGAACAATATTGTAACTCTTGGTGATTATAGTGAAACTTTTGGTCTCGTGATTTTTTACTCTTCACATCGAAGGGTTTTCCACGTAAATTCTGGTGTCTTGTGTGATTGGTTTATTATTGCCTTGTTATATTTGTTTGGTTGAATTACTTGCTGCCTTACTATCATATTGCTTGTGGTTGTTTGTCTTCTCTTGGTTCAAATCGAGAAGGGAAAGTATAGACTTGGGTATTCTTCCGCTGTTATCCTGTCAGGCATTCTTTGTTAGTGCCTTGTCTTTCCCAACATGTATATTTGTATACTTTTATATTCTTGCGATGTGATATTACACCATTATTTTTTTTTGATTGATTTGAAATAATATCACATCGCTCACGAATAATACACTAAGCACCATTGCTTGTGTATTAGCTATATCACCTCCATCTAATCCACACCTACCTTGAAAATTTCTATCGAATAATTCACAATCTTTCACAAATACAGTTACACACATGGGATACTTTGCCAAATTCTTTCTTTCTTTCTTTAAGGACACATATACTCTTACACTCATCTCATTGGATATTTTTAAATTGACATTGCTACCTTTTATTTTATACTTTAGCTTTATAAAATTGTATCTCAAATCAACACCAATTTATTTAACAATATAGCGATTTTCCTTTCAGAATGCATGATTAGAAAGGTAATTTACAATCAACACACAAATTTACGATCAGAGTAAGAACACAATTTTGTATTCAGATTAATTGTATTCCATAACCCAAAAAATGTATTTCTCTTATGTTTTGTATTTCAAAAATATGTTATACTCAAATCTGTATTTGTAGAACATCAACTAAATTGCATCCCAAATTATTTTGAATTCCAAGCAGTTGACATACAAAATATATATATATCCAATCATTCTCTGATTTTATCCCAAGTAGATGACTACAAAAATGTATTTTGAAGTTCCAAATATATATATATTATATGAAAACGTCTAATTTATAAAACATCAACTGTTTGTATTCAAAGCAGCCAACACACAATATTTCAAATCAATTCAAAATCAAAATCAGCTTCTGTAACAAAATCAATATGTATTCATGATAAAATTTTCAACTGATATTATTCGAAAACGATTTGGATTCAAAATAAAAATTAACCTTTTGTTGTTCAAAACAAATGAAATTTCAAAAATATTCCAAACAAATTAACGATTCAACGAGTTTTTCAATATCTGATTGATTATAGCTCTCAATTATCAAAATATAATTTGTCTGTCAAATATGTATTTCGCCAATTATCTCCTATGGATCTAATTTTATTTTAAAAATCTTCTTCACTGATATTGATATCCTATTTTTCCAGCAAAAGAAAATGACCATCACAACTCTCAACTAGGTTAAGAATAAAACTTCCAATATAACAATAATTTAGGGAATTTTTTTTTACGTACTACCTTCGTCCACTTTTAATCACGACAAATGTAATCCATATTCATGGGCGTATAAAAGCAACAATAGTCTCTTACCATCCCATCAATATTCAATGTTAACTGAAATTGCATACATCCACGTTAACAGGAAAACATCGTAGTCGCTTCTAGCAAGAACTTTTTACCCTGTAATTTGAAATCCAACAAACCCAGAAAAAGAAGAAGAAAAAAAGCCTGGGATTTGGATGAAAACTCACTACTGAATATGCTCTATATCTCACAACGGTCCATATATCCATTGTGTGCAAAGATGAAGTGCTAAACAGTTATATTCTCGCCTCAAACTATAGGTAGCTCACCACAGTCACTGATGACAACCCTCTTCCTTGGACGGTCACCCCTATCAGTCTCCTGGGACTCGATCAACTTCACAATGTCCATGCCTTCTAAAACTTGCCCAAACACAACATGCTTTTGATCCAGCCATGGGGTCTGCAGTGCACCAGAATATAAATTCATCCAATATCAGGACAAGTCAAAAATAAATAGAAGTAGTTCTGATTTCTACAATATGGCATCTAAAACATACTAATACTCGAAAAGGCTCTGCTCTAGAGAAGGATATCTTGTTGTCAGACAAGAAGCATCTGAGTGACCAACTGTAATAGTTAAAATATGCTTGGCTAACTGAATTATCCTGAAAATACCCAAATTCATATACTTCCATGTATATAGTTCCTTGGACAGGTTAGAAACAGAAAATGAATACATGTTTGCAGACGTGAGCTAGTGAAATTTGCTAATTTGGTTTCCTTCATTCGTTTTTAGTTTTAAACACTCCAAAGTATGAACTGTTAGATGTTATTCATGTATAAGTTGGTATGAATCTGGGCAAAGTCCAGCTACGCTGAAGCATGACAACTAACTAGCAGATACATCTTTATCACAACACATAAGAAGCAACGAGTAAGAATTATTTGACAAATAATGTTGCTCAAACTAAATATTTACAAGCTCAAAAACATGGGTTTTGCTAAGGGCTGAAAACATTAAGAAAGGAAGGAAGTAAACAAGTGGTTCTTTGTTTCTAGGAATCAAGAGCAGCTAAAAATGACTACCTAATGGTCAAAATTCCAAAATGAGCATATAAACCTCTTTAATTTCATATACCCTTTTGCAATATGATAAGAGTACTATTGTAATCACAACTTCGCAGTCAGTATTTTTTTTTTTGAAAACAACTTTGCAGTCAGTATTCACAAAAGATATTCAGCTGATTGAGATTCCTATTCCACATACCTTTACAGTGCAAATGAAGAATTGGCTTCCGTTGGTATTAGGCCCTGCATTAGCCATGCTAACAATCCCAGGTCCGGTATGAACCACTGCAATTACACAAGGATTTTTCATCACAAAAGAACATTGAACACAATTGACAATCTGAACCAAAGGGGTCCATTGCCTTAACCACAAGGAGAAGTTTGAAACCAATTTTTAAGAAGAAAATCCAACTTACACTTGAAGTTTTCATCCTTGAAGGTACGACCATATATGCTTTTACCACCGGTTCCCTGCGAATAAAAAATTAAATCCATGGGGGGAAGATTACAATATGCCAGAATGGCAAGTGAAAATTTTCCAAATTATGAACTGCAAACACTAGAACACTCTTCAATCAATCTATGCATATTAAATATTGGAGCAGTCAAGTTGTGTGCAATAACACATTCCACTTAAACAGAATTATTGAATATGGCAGTAGTACATATTCCACTGAGCATCTTAGCTCATGTACTCTTTCACACATTCAACTACTAATCAAAGAAGACATCCCATTCAGAAACATAGAACAAGCAAAGTTACATCATGCAAGTTCATTACTTATTTTTGAAAAAAAGTTTATACCATGAAAATTGATAATTTAGAATACAGAGATCTTACGTTGCTACAAGCATCAGGGAAGTCTCACAAACACAGAACCGAAACAAACTGAAAAACAACCTTTTCTTCTCTGGTTTTCCATGGTAGAAATTGGAGCCATGGAGGATCCAAAAGATGAAGGATAAACCACCAAACAGGAACAAGAAAACACTAGGCAAAGAACTAATTCAGAATTTTGCATTTCTGTTAATTTAAAATCTTGCTCAAGGTGAAACAAGCAAAATAAAAGGCTAAAAGATAAGCACCCAAAACACACCAAGTGTACTACAGAAAATACAATGAACTGGGTGAAGGATGTGTGTGTCAAGAAGAATGCCAATTAGAGGAACAAATAGAAAAAAAAAAGAAAGAAAGAGAAAGCAAACCAGGTGTTGAGACACCTACATTTCCCTTGTCGAAATCACCCCCTTGAATCATGAAATCTTTAATAACACGGTGAAATGCAGAATCCTTGAAGCCAAAGCCCTTCTCACCTGATCGGAAGAAATCAATCCAAACTATAAGCTAAACATAAATGATAGAAAGAATTATATGCATGAAGCTCAAGCAACAAGGCAGAATATTATAGCAATAATGATAATGAGAACAAAAACTGCAATAAAGGTAGTAGTGATAGCAGCACTAGTCATAAGAATATCGACGACAATAATATTAATAACATAAAATCTATTAAAGAACCTGTGCAGAGTGCACGGAAATTTTCAGCTGTCTGTGGCACATCATCACCATATAATCCAATTACAATTCGCCCAGCAAGTTTTCCAACAGGATTCCCAATGCTAATATCAAAATAAACTTTGTTTGTCACTTTGGATTGCAAATCCGCCACCTGGATTTCAATAAATACATTCAGATCTATTAAAAACTTCAACCAAGTAATGAACAAATTATGGAACATTAGTCCCATACAAAAGGCAACATAACACCATGTTTGCTGAAAACTGAACCACAGCCATTCTAATCAATGCTCCAAGACTTAAAAATCCGCTTCCACAATTAACTTTGCTACTTAACAAAAGAAAACACTGCATTATATGACAGTCTTCTCATTTTGGGTCATATTTGACATCTCTATATTTTTATACCAATTTCACAAGTTGTAAGTATTAAAAGTCCTTGTTCCACTCACAAATATTATGAAGAACTAAAATTTCTCTTTTCACAACCTTCGATATAAACTTTTTTTCCAAAAGTTGTTCATAGTTTCTTCTAGCATCACCAATACTATATACAAACCTAATTTAACATATTCTCACATAAAATGAGACAACGAAGTAACACTCAGCCACACATGCCATCTGCAACCAATGTATTCATCTACTTATCCCTTACATTTAGCTCTAGAACTTAAACAGAAAAGTTATTCCTCACAGAAACCCTAGAACGCATATTTACTAGCTCAACGCTAGACATATTGACTCAATCATCAAATTTTCGGCGAAATCAAAGAAGAAACACACAAACAGTAGAGCAATCACTAATAAATTAGCTCAGCGAGCGAGCACAGACCTCCACCGCGGCTTGAATAGAACCAGATGAACCGCCGGTTTTTTTGTGAACCGAACGGTTTGAAGAAGTGTCCAGACGCAACGAACCACCAAATAAGCTTGACGATGAGAATGAAGATTTCAGCAACTTCGGATAAGCAGCATATGTAGGGTTCGCAACTCGTGGAACTGAAATTGAGCCTAAATTCGACTGTAAACGGAGAAACGTTAGTCAACTAAAACAACAACAACAACAACAACAACGCTCTATTTCCAAAAATTAGTGTTATTACTACAAATTAGAAGGCAACACTGAACAACAAAGCTCAACTGCAAATTATTGAGAGGTTAAAGAAACTCACCACTGAAGCAAATGTAGCTGCCATAGTTGCCGATTTCAGTTCTCCGGTACGGCGAGTTGAACTGCAATAGAGATAGAGAGAGAGAGTGTGTGTGGTTGGTGAAAATGAGGGACAAAGATGGTGTGTGACGGAGATGACGAGCCTCAACCCTCTTGTATAGACCGATTAGGTAAACATATCCATTACAAATGGTAAAAAAGTTGTTACTAGAGTATAATATTAGGAAATAGCCTAATTTTTACCATGGTTTAAAGTGCGAGATCGTTTGGTTACTGGATAAGGATTGAGTTACGTTACATAAGTTATACTATATTTGATAGCTCTTTTATGTCAAGATATAATGTTTTAACACACATAATTCTATGTTTCATTAGAAAATTAGAAAACTATTGAAGTAATACATGTATAAGTTATGAGTCAATCCATGAATTATTTTATGCGAGTTCGAGATGAAATAAGTTATACTTGAATAATTAGTACTACATGAATAAAAATATAAATTGACCACTTTACGTTTCACTCTCAATCAAATATACTCCACTTCTTTTTAAATAAACATTCAAATACTCTCTCTATATTTGTAGATCTAGAATGTGACTCTTCATCTTCCAAACAAATAAAATGAAAAAAACTTTCAATTTTGTGTTTTTTCTTTGCCATTAAAAGTTCGAAAACTCTAAACTTGACTTATTTTTTTTATTTTCTTTTTCTCCTCTTGTTTTCTCCTCTTTTAATCTGACGAGAAAGGAATGAAATTCTAGGTCTTCTCAATATATTTTTCAATGAAGTTGATGTTTGAGTACTCCCAATTTTGATGTGAGTTTTGTTTTATTTGTTCAAAAATCGTGTTTTCTAAAAAAGGATTCATTAGGTTTAGTTTCTAAAACTCCAAAAAATGAACATGTATTTGAAGTGTGACAAAATAATATTAATATTTTAGTTATTGAAGTCGAACAAAAATAAGACATTTTACCTTTGTTTTTCAATATTACTTTTTATTTTTTATAAAATTGAACATTTTAGTTTGAAATCATCTATTACCTGTGTATAATAATATTCTCCCATGATGAGCTCCACGTTGAAGCCTTCTATATATATATAATGTTATAAAGAGTACAATGTATCAAGTAGACTATGATTGTGGTAAGAGTACAAGCTTATGTAAATAAGTGTTAGGTAGTGGAGCCTGATTAATTTTAGGTTTTCCTATTTATTCTTTGTAACCAAAAATACTCTGATTTATTAATATAAATATACCTCACCGTCGTAGAAGTTTACTCACGGGGTTTTACCACGAAATATTGAGTTTTCTCTCTCTCTCTCTAGATTTCTCATCTCTTTCTCTTGAAAGTTCTTGTGTTCTTCAATCATCTAGTGTGTGTGCGTGAATCGATCCTAACAACTGGTATCAGAGCTAAGGAGATTCAACACGATCACAGAAGATGGATAGTTCGAAGCTTGGAATCAAGAAGTTTGATGGATCCGATTTCAGTTTCTGGAAGATGCAGATCGAAGATTATCTGTACCAGAAAGATTTTCACGAACCGTTGACCGGGGTGAAGCCGGAATCCATGACGGAGGAGAAGTGGAAACTCAAGGATCGTCAGGCTCTAGGGTTGATCCGGTTGACTTTGTCAAGAAACGTGGCGTTCAACATCGTGAAGGAGAAGACTACGTCCGGTCTGTTGAAAACACTGTCAAACATGTATGAAAAACCATCGGCTATGAACAAGGTATATTTGATGCGTAGATTGTTCAATTTACAGATGTCTGAAACTGATTCGTTTCTGATCATATAAATGAGTTCAATATGATTGTGAGTAAACTCAATTCTGTGGATATTAATTTCGAAGATGAAATTAAGGCGTTGATTTTGATGTCATCTCTGCCCGAGTCTTGGGATACTGTTGTTGCTGCGATTAGTAGTTCCCGTGGATCTGAGAAACTGAAGTTTGATGAAATCTGTGATGTTGTTCTTAGCGAAAGTAATCGCAAATGAGAAGTGGGAGATTCATCGGGCAGTGCTCTCAGCGTTGATCGAAGGGGGAGAAGTAAGACGAAAGGCCAAAATCAACATGGTTGATCAAAATCAAAGAATCGAGGAAAATCACTGAACAGATCAAACGTGACTTGTTGAAACTTTGGAGAAAAAGGGCACTTTCGGACGAACTGTACAAAGCAAAAGAAGAAACAGAATCAGAAATTTGGAGATGACAATGATTCTGTAAATTCAGCAGAGGACATTGGAGATGCTCTAATCCTTAGTGTGAACAACCCGGTTGAATCATGGATTTTGGATTCTGGTGCATCTTTCCATTCGTCTCCAAGCAAGGAGTTGTTCTAAAACTTCAAATCTGGAAATTTTGGAAAAGTATATCTTGCTGACAATAAAGCCTTAGAGATTGAAGAAAAAGGGGATGTTTGCATAAAGACCACCTCGGGAAACCAGTGGACATTGGAGGATGTCAGATATATTCCTAGGATCAAGAAAAATCTGATCTCTGTTGGTCAGTTGGATAGCACGGGATATGCAGCAGAGTTTGGGAAAGGTTCGTGGAAGATCGTGAAAGGTTCTATGGTAGTAGCTTGTGGCACCAAATTTGGAACCTTCTACACCACTGCAGGGTGTATAAACATGGCCGCTATTGCTGAAGGTGCTTCCGGTTCATGTCTGTGGCACAACAGACTTGGACACATGAGTAATAAAGGAATGAAGATGCTGGTTGCAAAAGGAGCATTAGAGGGTCTGAAGTCTGTTGATATGGGTCTTTGCGAGAGTTGTGTTATGGGCAAACAGAAAAGAGTAAGCTTCACAAAGACTCCTAGAGATCCAAGAAAGTGCGGTTGGAAATGGTCCATACAGATGTTTGGGGACCATCTCCAGTATCATCACTTGGAGGATCCAAATTCTATGTTACCTTCATTGATGATTTCAGCAGGAAGGTATGGGTTTACTTCTTGAAGCATAAGTCAGATGTGTTTGCAACTTTCAAGAAGTGGAAAGCTGAAGTTGAGAATCAGACCGGCTTGAAAGTCAAATGCCTAAGGTCTGACAATGGAGGAGAGTATGACAAATCAGAGTTCAAGACATTCTGTGCAGCTGAGGGAATCAGATTGATGAGAACAGTTCCTGGTAAGGCAAGACAGAATGGAATTGCTGAGAGGATGAACAAAACAATGAATGAGCGTGCAAGGAGTATGAGGTTACACTGTGGGCTGCCCAAAACACTTTGGGTGGATGCTGTGAGCACAGCTGCATACTTGATCAACAGGGGAGCATCAGTTCCTTTAGGGTTCAAGATTCCAGAGGAGGTGTGGACAAGAAAAGAACTCAAGTACTCACACTTGAGGACTTTTGGTGGCACTGCTTATTTTCATGTTGATCCAGAAAAGAGAGACAAGCTTGATGCCAAGGCTGTGAAGTGTTACTTCATAGGCTATGATTCTGATTTGTTTGGTTACAGATTTTGGGATGACAAGAACAGAAAGATCCTGAGATATTGTGACGTGACATTTAATGAGTCTGTCCTGTACAAGGACAGAGATCAGAAGGTTCTAGAGATTACAAAGCAAGTGGGAGTTGAGGTTAAGTTGGAGAAGAGTAACCCCAGAGATGTCGAAGCAAATACTCAACCAACTCCTACTGAAGAATCTGAAGTGGAGCAAGTTACACCTGAGCAGGTGTTAAGGAGATCATCCAGATACATCAGGGCACCAGATAGGTATTCACCTTCATTACACTATCTATTATTGACTGATGAGGGGGAACCAGAGTCTTTTAATGAAGACCTACAGGTGGAGGATTCGATTAAGTGGGAGCAAGCCATGGATGATGAGATGAGGTCACTTGAGAAGAACGACACATGGGTGTTGACTGAGTTACCTGCAGGGAAGAGAGCTTTGCTGAACAAGTGGGTGTTCAGAATCAAGACTGAACCAGATGGCAAAAGAAGGTTCAAGTCTCGTTTAGTGGTTAAAGGATATTCACAAAGGAAAGGTATTGATTATGCTGAAATATTTTCTCCTGTTGTGAAGTTAACCTCTATTCGAATTCTGTTGAGTATTGTTGCATCGGAGAATTTGCATCTAGAGCAAATGGATGTAAAAACAGCGTTTTTACATGGAGATCTGGACAAAGAGATCTATATGCAGCAACCGGAAGGATTTGTAGTTCCAGGCAAGGAACACATGGTGTGAAAGCTCACCAGAAGCTTGTATGGACTAAAGCAAGCACCAAGGCAGTGGTACAAGAAATTTGACTCCTTCATGACCAAGAGTTGATTCTGCAAAGCTGAAAAAGATCCTTGTTGCTACTTCAAGAAATACACTGATTCATATGTCTTTCTACTCTTGTATGTGGATGATATGTTGATTGCAGGATCTAGTATGAGGGAGATTAACAATCTGAAGATAAGGTTGTCTGCAACATTTGAGATGAAAGATTTGGGTCCAGCAAAACAGATTT